AAGACAAAAAGAGAAAAAAAAAAAAAGAAAAAAAAATTAAGGCTCTTAATAGGAGCACCTGGTATATATATTATCTGTCATACTTAGAACTAAAGGCTCCTGGGCATGGTGGCCCAGGCCTGTAATCCAAGCACTTTGGGAGGCTGAGGTGGGTGGATCACGAGGTCAGGAGATGAGAGACCATCCTGGCCAACATGGTAAAACCCTGTCTCTACTAAAAATACAAAAATTAGCTGGGCATGGTGGTGCATGCCTATAATCCCAGCTACTAGGGAGGCTGAGGCAGGAGAATTGCCTCAACCTGGGAGTCACAAGTTGCAGTGAGCCAAGATGGCACCACTGCACTCCAGTCTGGCAACAGAGTTAGATTCCCTCTCAGAAACAAAAACAAAAACAAAAAACTCACGGCTCAACACAAATGATAAATGCTCAATCTGATGGATGTGCTAATTGTTCTGATCTGATCACTATCCACTATATGTATCAAAATATCACTATGTACACTATAAATATGTACAATTATTATGTCAATTAAAAACTTAAAAAAATTTAAAAAGCTAATATAAAGGTCTTACCTTAAAACTATGAATTTATCTTATTGACCTTTGTATACTTGCAAGTTTATGAACTTGCAAGGCAGTTGAAAATTATGGGAAGTCTTCAAGTCCCAGCTTTACTGAATGTAAGAGATCAGCAAATTTTAACATAAATTTTAAGAATTTTAAGAAATATTTGGATACATTTTATTCTTGAAGTATTAAATTTTAATTATTTGGAAAACTTGCTTAAGTGGAATGTGTCATTTCCTTGACATTAGAAAAATAAAATTATTTTATATCCAATAAGTTAATAGCATTCTTTGTATTTAAAAAAAAAAACAACTAAATATGGGGTGTCTGTGACATGGCTAAGCATGAATAATATCACACACAGCACAGTGCATAATTATCTGCTCAACAAATCCTGAATATATCAGACAGCCACAAAACATTACTGTGAAATGTTCATTATGTTATCTTGATGAATCTAAAAGTCTGATTCCAATGCTTAGCTGCTATAGTTAATCTGGGACCCAAAGGACAATATACCTGGGTCAGGGACAAAAAATCACCAGAAGAATTCCACAGTAGTCTTTCTGACTACCAGTAACATCTACAGAACTTGACTGGAATCTCACCAGAAGTCTGTTTCATGTTCAAGTATGCTGCTATACATAGAAGCCACCTAGGCTGTTAGCTAGCAAGTTTAGAGACAGGAGGCTGGGCGTGGTGGCTCACGCCTGTACTCCCAGCATTTTGGGAGGTCAAGGTGGGCAGATCACTTGAGGTCAGGAGTTTGAGACCAGCCTGGCCAACATGGTGAAACCCCGTCTCTACTAAAAATACAAAAATTAGCTGGGCATGGTGGTGGGCGCCTATAATCCCAGCTACTTAGGAGGCTGAGGCAGGAGAATTGCTTGAACCCCAGAAGTGGAGGTTGCAGTGAGCCGAGATTGCACTACTGCACTCCAGCCTGGATGACAGTGAGACTCAGTTTCAAAAAAAAAAGAAAAGAAAAAAGGAAAAGAAATTCCTTATTCTTGGATTGTAAATGAAAGAGGAAACACAATCCAAGGAAAGGGTTGTTGGGGGCACAGAGCTCAGGAAGTGAGAAGCCAGAGTCCTGGAATTATTTCCCTCCCCTTCTTTTAAAAAGTAGCGCTAGATTGAGAAATTGGAGGGAGGAAGAAGGGTGGGTATGGGGGAAGGAGACTCCAGCTGTGCAGCCTCCATTCCAAGAGCTGCTTAGATAAGGTGCGCAAAGCCAAAGCATTCCTGGGCTAGCACTGTGAGGATACAATTTGTATCACTTTTGTTTTCACATTATCTGTCTCTTGAGGAAGTCACTGCCTGTCTGCTTTTCACTCTGTACCCTGAGTTTCCCTGATAAGATAGGTAAACTTCCAGCACTGCAGAGATTGTTAATCCCCTAGCTTGTGCTTCCCTAATACAAATATATATTTTTTAAAAACCCTCAAATTGGCTGGGCGTGGTGGCTCACGCCTGTAATCCAAGCACTTTGGAGGCCAAGGCGGGCGGATCACCTGAGGTTGGGAGTTCAAGACCAGCCTGACCAACATAGTGAAACCCCATCTTTAAAAAAAAAGGACCCTCAAATTTGTGTTGTAACAACTGGTATGCTTTATACATCTTGAGCCCATATCCAGATTTAAAGGAGATGAACACCTTGGCTCTTAAAGCTTCCTCTATCACAGAAGCTCCTAAATAAGCTATCTGTGGTAATCTAGCCCTGTTCACCTTGCAAACTGAGTTCTGTATAATTGTATCCAGTGTTGGGTTTAAAGAAATATGACTCAGGCCATGTGCGGTGGCTCACAGCCTGTAATCATAGTACTTTGGGAGGCCGAGGTGGGCAGATTACCTGATCTCAGGAGTTTGACACCAGCATGGGTAACATGGTAAAAACCCATCTCTATTAAAATACAAAAAATTAGCTGGGCATGGCAGTATTCACCTGTAGCCACAGCTACTTGGGTAGCTGAGGCAGGAAAATTGCTTGAACCCGGTAGGGGAAGGTTGCAGTGAGCTGAGATCGTGCCACTGCACTCCCGCCTGGGCAAAAGAGTGAGACTCCCTCTCCCAAAAAAAAAAAAAAAAAAAAAAAAAGAAAAAGAAAAAAAGAAATATGACTCTTTACCACTGCACACTCAGTGCTAATATCAGAGAAAGACAGGAATCATAAGGTTATTTATTGGTGGATTCCGTATTTTGTTTTTATTAGCACTAGAGGAAATCACAGAATGATAACAGGGGTGCTCCTCTGAAAATGGTGCCACGACTGTGACTTTGTGACTCTGACAGGGTAAGTATGTAGAGGATCCGCCTCTGCATAGCTACAAAGATAACCCATGAGGGTCAGTGGATTAAGAATCCATAGGGGGAACAGGGATATCTGGGAAAGAAATAATTCTTTTTTCTTTTTATTAATTTTTGAAGGCATCATTAAGAAATCATCTTAAATTGAAAAGATGGCTGGATGTCTGGATTTTTTTTTTTTTTTTTGGATTTTTTTTGAAGCAGAGAGCTTCACTCAGTCATTCAGGCTGGAGTGCAGTCGCATGGTCTCAGCTCACAGCAGCCTCCACCTCCCAGGTTCAAGCAATTGTCATGCCTCAGCCCCCCAAGTAGCTGGGATTACAGGCGTGAACCACCACGCCTGACTAATTTCTGTATTTTTAGTAGAGACAGGGTTTCACCATGTTGGCCAGGCTGGTCTCAACCTCCTGGTTTCAAATGACCCACCTGCCTCGACCTCCCAAAATGCTGAGATTACAGGCGTGAGCCACCATGCCCAGCCCTGATGTCCAGATATTTAGTAGATACTTACATACTTTTCTTTCTCTTCTTTATCAAGAATTTCCTTCTTTATCAAGAATCTAAACACTTTCCAGGTCCTAGGCAACCAAATGGCAAGAAAGGCTCACAACTGTTTTGTTTGGTAGGTAGCCATTGTTGTTGGAACCTGGACTGTGGCTGACTAGTAAGCATGCAGGACACCAGTGCCCCTGAGGGTTCATGTGGCTCCAGTAGACACGCAGGATATAGACTAGGTGGGGGAGTTACATAAGGCATGTATTGGCCACCCACAATCACCAACAGGTGAATTTTAGCATAAGCAGAGACCTTGGTAATTAGCTAAAAATACAGGCATCATACGAACTTATTATGATATTGGGTGGATCTCAGCAAAAGAACAGAAAGGGAAGGACTTGAAAGAAGTGAATTTCTATATGTTTAAATGTGTTAACTGGAATGCATGGACATATGTAACCAAGACCTTTCTTTATGTTTAAAAATTAAACTTGTCTGGTCATAAATTCTATACAATTAATGTTACCAAAGCTGCAGTGACATCCTATTCAAAAATTCATTTTTTCAGACATCTAACTACTTAAAACAAAACTCCCCCCCCCCACGATTACATACATTCACACAGCTGCTGTATTCCCAAATGGAATATGTATATGAATGCACACACAGAGATATTCAGAAAGCACATGTGCAGGGATGACAGCATACACTCGTCTTGAACCTGAGGTGCATGTGGGCTGCAGTGAAGGTCAAGAGGCTGGGCTACATATCTGTTCAATGTCATTCATCTCTTTGGGACAATCTGCAGAAAGGATGAGAGGTGAGTCCTGAGTCACCACTACATCATCCTCAATTCGTACACCAAGACCCCGAAACTTCTCTGGGGCATCTCTGTCATCCTCTGGAATATAAATGCCTGTGAAGTAGAAAGAAGAACATGCTGTTCAGGAATGATAGAAACTGGGTGGTTTGGGGCAAGTAAGTTAACCTCTGGGTTAAAATTCCTTCCTCTGTAATGCTGGATCTTTATGGTACCTATCTAATAAAGCTGTGAGGATTAAATGAGATAATACATGTCAAAGTGCCTGGCATATAACAGTCAACACCTATTGGTATCATTACTAAAATTATTCCAGTTATCTGTATAATGGACTAGAAGCTCCATACAAATATGGCAATGCTGACCATGATTTTGTCATATTCTAGTGGCTCAAGCAGGCCAGTAAAGTTACCTAACTCAAAAGTACATCAATGGCTGGGCGCAGTGGCTCACACCTGTAATCCCAGCACTTTGGGAGGCCAAGGTGGGTGGTTCACAAGGTCAGGAGTTCGAGACCAGCCTGGCCAACATTGTGAAACCCCTGTCTCTACTAAAAATACAAAAATTAGCTGGGTGTGCTGGTGGGTGCCTGTAGTCCCAGCTACTCCAGAGGCTGAGGCGAGAGAATCGCTTGAACCCAGGAGGTGGAGGTTGCAGTGAGCCGAGACCATGCCACTGCACTCCAGCCTGGGTGACAGAATGAGACTCTATCTCAAAAAAAAATAAAAGTACATCAATATACGTGGGGGACAAAGAGATTATATAAGTGCATTCTTCCTCTGCCTAAGAGTACCCTGGAAAAAGCACTTAGCAAAAATAAAGACAAAATACATTTAAAATGTATTAAACAATTATTTAGAGATTATCAGCCTTGATAACTGGAAGCTGCAGAAACAGTCATTATAAATTTTTTGTTTTCCTCTCATATAAGGTTTAACTATATCTGATATGCATAATGTAAAGTAAAGGAGAAACTGAAAGACTTTAATGTACATTTGGAAAAATGTAGGAACCCCAGGTACCCTTTCTAATCATGAAGTTAAGAAATATACCAGGTCTTTTCATAAGAAAGAAGTTTCTTCTTTCACTATTCTCACAGATACTGCCTCTGTGATTAAAAAAAAAAAAGAAAAAAAAAAAAAAGATCAGCAAAGGAAAATGTAGTACAGTCTAAGGAAGCACCCAGGTACCAATCAGATTGAACTAAATGATGTATCTATGGGCACAGATAGCAACGTATGACTGGGTTCAAAGGGTGGCATAAAAGATATTTCACAACCATAATTTATATAGAGATTAAAATAACTTGGAATCTAAAATTTAGATCTGTTTTTCAAAACAAAACCAGCATCAGTGTTTAACCATCAACTGTGACAATATCAGTCTTCACATACCACTGTGACCACTGCTTCTCTTCAGAATTCTGCCCAAGACCCAGGACCACTCAAGTTAGGTAACCATCTAATTGTTAGCTTTCTCCGAAGCTTATGAGGAAGACATTGGATACTAAGGAGTGTAATGGTGCTAGGTAGATCAATGCAGCTTGCAGAGGTGTTGAAACTGAGAGGATAGTGTGTCTGCGTGTCTCTCTACACACAAGCACTGGGGGCTTTGGAAGCTTGAGAAACTCCCCCAGTACTAAATGGGAGACCAGTACAAACTGGCCCTGGCAAAGGCAAGAGTAAAAAAGATTCATTTCTTAACATCTGCTTATAGGAAGTATTTCCCATCTGTTGTTTATTGGAAGAGTCAAATGGAACAAATTGTGTGATGTTAAATAAGAATATGAAAGATAAATCTAAAATAAAATTATCTTCTACACTGGGGAGACTTTTTTCCTGTCTCTTCTAACTTAATTACTTTGGTTGAGGTAAAAATAAACAATGTGGCCACGCATGGTGGCTCACGCCTGTAATCCTACCACTTTGGGAGGCTAAGACAGGTAGATCACCTGAGGACAAGAGTTCGAGACCAGTCTGGCCAACATGGTGAAACCTGTCTCTACTAAAAATATAGAAACTAGCCATTCATGATGGTGGGTGCCTATAATACCAGCTACTCAGGAGGCTGAGGCAGAATTGCTGAACCTGGGGGGCGGAGGTTGCAGTGAGCCAAGATCATATCACTTCACTCCAGCCTGGGTGAAAGAGCAAAATTCCATCTCAAAAACAAACAAACAAACAAACAATGTTTACCTCATACTACTATTATAACACCTCTCCTTACCTGGCTCAATTGTGATTACCATCCCAGGCTGTAGAGGGAGGGAACGGGGCATGTCTGGAGTGTCGTGGACATCCATCCCAAGGTAGTGGCCAACATGATGAGGGCAGTATTTTCGAGCAGCCTGGAAAAGATAATTATCACGGTATTATTAGAGAAATGACCTCTTACGGGGAATGATGGGCAAGTATAAATCAGTGAGATATGTGTTAGTATCTCCCCCACCGTTCTGCCACTTTAGTTTAATCCATCCTTGGACTAATACTTAAAGGCACTGGAAAAACTGCGACCTCATATGCAATTCTGCCAGTGGCATTCTCATAAATCCACATTTCCATTCTCACTATTTAATATACTACATATATGCTGACTTGGGTAATCCCAACTAATGACTGTGGCAAATGAAAGTCTCTTTTCTTCAGTACCATAGGAAAGGTAAAAGGAAAGGAAAGGAAAGAAAAAAAAAAATCCTCTTTTCTTGGTGACTATTAAAACAGTTCTTATTTTAATGTTCGCTCACATATCCCTCTCAGGAATCTATTCTGGAGACCCTAAGTATCTCACAGCAACTTATGGAGAAGGCATACTTTTGGGCACCTACCAGCTTGGGTATTTCTTTTTTTTTTTTTTTTTTCTTTTTTGAGATGGGAGTCTTGCTCTGTTGCCCAGGCTGGAGTGTAGTGGTGCGATCTCGGCTCACTGCAAACTCCACCTCCTGAGTTTAAGCTATTCTTCTGCCTCAGCCTCCTGAGTAGCTGGGATTACAGGCATGCAACACCATGCCTGGCTAATTTTTGTATTTTTTTTTTTTTTTTTGAGACGGAGTTTCGCTCTCGTTACCCAGGCTGGAGTGCAATGGCACGATCTTGGCTCACCGCAACCTCCGCCTCCTGGGTTCAGGCAATTCCCCTGCCTCAGCCTCCTGAGTAGCTGGGATTACAGGCACGCACCACCATGCCCAGCTAATTTTTTGTATTTTTAGTAGAGACAGGGTTTCACCATGTTGACCAGGATGGTCTCGATCTCTTGACCTCGTGATCCACCCGCCTCGGCCTCCCAAAGTGCTGGGATTACAGGCTTGAGCCACCGCGCCCGGCCCTAATTTTTGTATTTTTAGTAGAGACGGGGTTGCACCATGTTGGCCAGGCTGGTCTCGAACTCCTGACCTGATGTGATCTGCCTGCCTCAGCCTCCCAAAGTGCTGGGATTACAGGCGTGAGCCACCGTGCCCAGTTAGCTTGGGTATTTCTATCCATTAATTGAAGATTTGTTGGGCTAAGAAACAAGCAATTTATAGCTTCTTTTTTATTGATAACAGAATTCCTAGAAGGCTTAATTTGGAGGCAGGAGATGCCTAATGGTCTATTTGACTTGGACATCTAGCATCTTAATTTTAAAGCTGAGGTTTTACATTTTTACTGAACATTATCACATTTTGGATGCAGAAAAAATTCACTAACGACGTGGCCTTTGGGAATATTGCTGAAGTCTCAAAAATGTCACTTAACCAACAAATATCTTCTCCTTTGACCTCCAGAACAACCTATAAAAGGATTAAAAGTTAATCTCAGCTGGGCATGGTGGCTGATGCCTATGATTCCAGCATAGGGTGGGTGGATCATGAGGTCAGGAGTTCGAGACCAGCCTGACCAACATGGTGAAACTCCCGTCTCTACTAAAAATACAAAAATTAGCTGGGTGTGGTGGTATACACCTGTAATCCCAGCCACTTAAGAGGCTGAGGCAGGAGAATTGCTTGAACCTGGGAGGCAGAGGTTGCAGTGAGTGGAGATCATGCCACTGCACTAGTCTGGGTGACAGAGCAAGACTCCATCTCAAAGAAATAAAATAAAAAATCTCTCTCTCTCTTTTGTTTTCATTTTAGAAACAGGGCCTTGTTCTGTGGCCCAGGTTGGAGTGCAGTGCTATGATCATAGCTCACTGCAGTCCTGAATTCCTGGGGTCAAGCGATCCTCCCATCTCAACCTCCTAAGTAGCTGGGACTAGAGGTGCACACCACCACACCTGGCTAACTTCTAAGTTTTTGTACAGAGAGGGTCTTCTATGTTTCCCAGGCTTCTCCTCATTTCTTGTTTTCTTTTTCACCCTGTCTGCACCAGACTTCATTTTCTATTTTCTGAATACTGAGCTAGTTATGCAGCATGTAATGAATCAGGATGTGCTGCCATCTTCTGGAAGAAATAAGTACTGACTTCCTTTGTTTTAATCCTGTTAAAGCTAAATCTGTCTTATTTCTAAATCTTTTCTTTTTTTTTTTTCCAAACATAAAAAACCGTGTGTGTGTGTGTGTGTGTGTGTGTGTGTGTGTGTGTGTGTGTGTGTGTGTCTGTGTGTGTGTCTGTGTGTGTGTCTGTGTGTGTCTGTGTGTATAAACAGATGGGTCTCGCTATGTTGCCCAGGCTGGCTTCAAGTGATTCTTCTGCCTCAGACTCCTAAACTACTGGGATTACAGGCATGAATCACTGCATCTGCATCTGTCCCATTCTAAATCTAATTAGCTTTATGTAGGGTAAAAAACCTAGCAGCGTGTTAGGTGTTCTTGAGAACTGGGGTCAGGAGAAGTGAAGTACCTTAAAGGCATTATTTTCCTTAATGTTCTTCATGATCCCCAAATCTTTAAGCTTCTGTCCTGTCAGGGTCAGCATCATGCTGTAGATATTCTCCAAGCTTGTTCCAGGGAAGCAGAGGGCCAAACAATTTCTCTGGATCTCTAGAACAGCTTCATAGAGTTCTGCCTGAGGTGCGCTGAACCTGGGAACAGGAAAACCAAAGAACCTGAACTTAGATAAGCTGATATTATAAGAAGTTTGCTACTAAGTTTGACTAGAAAAACCCCAAGATGCTGCTGCTGCTGGGGCACTGTTGATGTTTAATAAGTACCAATCTATCAATAACGGCCAGGAGCTCAATCATGTCCTAGGTGCTCAGTAAGAAGGGCAACCATCTTTCAAGCTGGAGCCGCAACACAGTCTTTCCTTCAGTCAGGAGACACATGAAGTAGGGCCCAAAGAAGCACCCAGCTATGAGCGCAGGCAGTGGGTGGACAAGGCTCAGCCCTGATCCTGTCTAATCCCTTACAGCACAGACTACCATTTTAAAAAAAGGCAGGAAAGCCTACGGACCCAATTCTGACAGGTGAAGTAGATATCATGGGATAAACTAGTCAACATCTTGGCTACTGGTAACATACTAACACATAAATGTCTTTAGAATAAGTTTCTTTAGCAATTATGATATAAAAAAGTGACCTGGGATGACATATGATACATATTCTCACATACTGTTGATTAGAGTGTAAACTAATACAGCTAATTACCTCAAAGGCCTTAAAGATGCTCACATAGAGCTTATAATTTTACTCTAATATATCCTAAGAAAATAAAACTGGAAGATCAGGCGTGGTGGCTCACGCCTGTAATCCCAGTACTTTGGGAGGCCAAGGTGGGCGGATCACTTGAGGTCAGGAGTTAGAGACCAGCCTGGCCAATATGGTGAAACCCCATCTTTATATTAAAAAAAAAAAAAAAGAAGCTGGGCGTGGTGGTTCACACCTGTAATCCCAGCACTTTGGGAGGCCGAGGCGGGCAGATCATGAGGTCAAGAGATTGAGACCATCCCTGAGCAACATGGTGAAACCCTGTCTCTACTAAAAATACAAAAATTAGCTGGGTGTGGTGGCGTGCGCCTGTAGTCCCAGCTACTCGGGAGGCTGAGGCAGGAGAATTGCTTGAACCCGGGAGGCAGAGATTGCAGTGAGCTGAGATCACGCCACTCCACTCCAGCCTGGCACCTGGCAACAGAGTGGGACTCTGTCTCAAAAAAAAAGAAAAGAAAAAGAAAAAGAAAATAAAGCTGAATGTACTAATATGTTCACTGTAATTTTTTTATAAGTGTAAATTATTAGACAAACTCTAAATGTCCCCTAATAGAAGAATGGCTAAATCTAACAGCAAAAGAATACCTATGTACTCATCTTCTAGGTTCATTATTTTATCACCTATAAATGCACCCATAACTCACCTCACCACAGTATTACTAAATAATATAACCTTTTTTTTTTTTTTTAAAGAGACAAGGTCTCACTGTGTTGCCCAAGTTGGTCTAGAATGATCCTCCTGCCTTGGCCTCCCAAAGTGTCTTTATATACACTAAAATGCATACATTTGAACTGTACAATTTTGACAAATGCATGTGCAAAACCCATTGAAGCTGGGGACAATGAACTCCTAAATTCTGCTGAGTCTTCATTGCCAGCAGCAGCCGCCCTTCTACCCGCATCTGAGAAGGTTAACCCTGTTTTGTCTGAAAACCTATAGGTATGTCCCCTGAGGTAGTTGCCTTGGTTCTTCTAGAACTGTAACTACACTCAAGTCCCAGCAGGCTCCAAGTTAGGAAGAAAGTGTGACTCATGAGGAGGTCCACTCCATTCCAAAAAGAACTGCATGATGTTTCCAATTTCCAATGGACAAAAATCTGGGAATATGGGTAGAAATGAATATTTATGGTGGGGGATAATGGTAGAAGGAACAGAGTTGCACTGGTCAACTTTATGATATGGGTCCACTAATCAGAGATTCTGGATTCGATGTTGTAACTGAAGGGGTCACAAAAGTTGTAACAGTTTGGCTGGCTGGCTGGCTGAAACACAAACCAAAAGGTAAACTACAATATATAAACACAAATGTCACAATTGCTTTGGTATGCTGGAGAAGGAATTCTGCCTCATGACTATAATATAAACCCTGCCTGAGTTTGGACTGAAGTCTGCCTTATAGATTTTGGACTCAAGCCTTGTGATTCAACACTTGCTTGAGTTTCCAGCTTACTGGCCTAGCCTTGTAAGATTGAGACCAGCTACCACAACTGCATGAGCCAATTCATTAAAATCTACCCATCCACCCACCCGCCCACACATACATGTCCCATTGGTTCTGTTTCTCTGGAGAATCCTAACTGATATAGATCCATATTCCTACCATTATACAGAACATTTCCACCTCCCCTGAAAGCTTCCTCATGTTTGTTTCTTTTCTTCTTTTTTAGAGATGGAGTTTCGCTCTTTTGCCCAGGCTGGAGTAAAGTGGTGCGATCTCAGCTCACTGCAACCTCTGCCCCTGCCGGGTTCAAGTGATTCTCCTGCTTCAGTTTCCTGAATAGTTGGGATTATAGGTGCCTGCCACCATGCCTGACTAATTTTTGTATTTTTAGTAGAGATGAGTTTTTGCCATGTTGGCCAGGCTGGTCTTCAACTCCTGATCTCAGGTGATCTGCCTGACTTAGCCTCCCAAAGTGCTAGGATTATAGGCATGACTATGCCCAGCCCTCATGTTCATCTCTAATCAATATCCCTACTTTCCGAGGCAAATGCTGTTGTGATTATTTTGACCTTAGTTTGCCTAAACTAAAACATCAGTAAATGGAATCATAAAATACATACTCCCGAATCTGGCTGCCTTCACTGAGCATGTCTATGCAGTACATCTGTGATGTTGCTTCAGTCAGTAACAAAAAACAGTCAATCAGTAATTAAAATGTTCTTTGTTATTACTGAGTGGTATTCCACTGTATGAACAGACCACAATTTGCATATTCATTCTCCTGTTGATGGACATTTTGGTTGTTATGCTATTGTGAATAAATGCTGTTATGAATGTCCTTGTGCAATTCTTTTTATTGAGAAATGTTTTTATTTCTCTTAAATACCTAGAATTTGGCTGGGCATGGTGGCTCGTGCCTGTAATTCCAGTGCTTTGGCAGGCCGAGGCAAGAAGATCGTTTGAGCCCAGGAGTTACAGGCCAGCATGGGCAACATAGTGAAACCCTGTCTCTACAAAATAACGAAATATTAGCTAGGCATGGTGGCACGTGCCTCTTATCCCAGCTACTTGGGAGGTTGAGATGGGAGGACTGCTGTTTCCCTCAGCCTCCCAAGTAGCTGGGAGGAACCTGCCACCACACTCAGCTAATTTTTGTATTTTTGTATGGATGTGGTTTTACCATGTTGGCCAGGCTGGTCTTGAACTCCTGACCTCAAGTGATCCACCCACCTCGGCCTCCCAAAGTGCTGGGATTACAGCCATGAGCCACTGCACCTGGCCTTTCTGCAAGGTATTTCTATTCTTCCAACTGGATAATTTATATTTATCTTCAAGTTCGCAAACTTCTGCTGTCTCCAATTTACAGTTAAATCCACCTAGTGAATTTCCTGTTTCAGTTAATGTACTTTTCAGCTTTAAAATTTTCATTTAAAAACTAAAAAAAAAATTTTATTGTAAAACAAAACACAGATACAGAAAGCCAAACAAATCAATCAAATATAAACCTTAAGAAATTATTTGGTGGCTCTATTAAAAATACAAAAATTGGCTGGCGTGGTGGCATTGCCTGTAGTCCCAGCTATTTGGGTGAGGTGGAGGCAGGAGAATCACTTGAACCCGGGAGGCAGAGGTTACAGTGAGCCAAGATTTCGCCCCTTTACTCCAGCCTGGGTGACAGAGAGACCCTGTCTCAAAAAAAAAAAAAAAAAAAAGTATTATAAGGTGAATACCAGTCAGATTGAAAAAAACAAACTTGGTAGACTATCCCAAGAAGACCCTTCTATATTTCCCAGAATAATGACAATCTTCCCAATAATCAACACTCATCCTACCTTTTTTATTTTGGAGATAGGGCCTTGCTCTGTTGCCTAGGCTAGAGTACAGTGATCATAGTTCACTGTAACCTCAAACTTCAGGGGTCAAGTAATTTTCTCACCTCAGCCTCCTAAGTAGCTGCGATTACAGGTGTGCACCACCTTGGTTGGCCAATTTTTTTGTAGATATAGAGATATTGCTGTGTTGCCCAGGCTGGTTTTGAACTCCTGGCCTCAAATGATCCTCCTGCCTCAGCCTCCCAAAACACTGCGATAACAGGTGTGAGCCACCATGCTAGCCATATCCTAACTTTTGTAGGCAGTTAATTGTGATTTTTTATTCATGTGTACTATTATTTACACATGAATTTAATTTTTTTTTTTTTTTTTTTAGACCCAGTCTCACTCTGTTGCCTAGGCTGGACGACAGCAGTGCAGTCACAGCTCACTGCAGTCTCAAACTCCTGGGATCAGGTGATCTTCCCACTTCAGTCTCTCTAGTAACTGGGACTACAGGTCCATGCCACCATGCCTGGCTAATTTTTTTCTTTCATGATTATATATAAAATGATTCACAAATTTGCATGTCATCCTTGTGCAGGGGCCATGCAAATCTCTGTATTGTTCCAATTTTGGTATATGTTCTGCCGAAGGAAGCACTTTTAAAGTTTTTTTGTAGAGATGGGGTTTTGCCATGTTGCCCAGGCTGGTCTGAAACTCCTGGGCTCAAGTCATCTGCTCGCTTTGGCCTCCCAAAGTGCTGTGATTATAGGATGAGCTACCATGCCTGAGTGAATTTATCATTTTTATTGAGATATAATTCATTTATCATAAAATTCCTTCAGACTGAGCTTCGCTCTATGGCCCAGGCTGGAGTGCAATGATATGATCTCAGCTCATTGCAACCTCTGCCTCCTGAGTTCAAGTGATTCTTGCACCTCAGGCTCCCAAGTAGCTGGGGTTACAGGCATGCACCACCATGCCCAGCTAATTTTTGTACTCTTAGTAAAACGGGGTTTCACCGTGTTGGCCAGGCTGGTCTCAAACTTCCGACCTTAGGTGATCTGCCCACCTCAGTCTCCCAGTCTCCCAAAGTGTTGGGATTACAGGTGTAAGCCACCTTGCCTGGCCAATTCAGTGGTTTTAAGTGTATTCACGTGTATAACCATCACCACTACTAATTCCAGAAAATTTTCATTACTATCCCTTCCCAAATCCTGTATCTGCTAGCAGTCACTCCCTATTCCTTTCTTTTTTTTTTTTTTAATTAAATTTTTTTTTTTTTTTTTTTACAGATCGGGTCTTGCTATGTTGCCCAGGCTGGAGTGTACTGGCTATTCACAAGCTTGCTCCCACCACTGATCGGTTTCGACCTGCTGTTTCTGACCTGAGCCAGTTCAGCCCTCCTTAGGGTAACCTAGTGGTTCCCTGCTCCTGAGCAAACACCATATTGATGAAAGATTTGTTGCAGATACCTGATCAACACAGTAGACACAGCTTAGAACTCCTGGACTCGAGAGATCTTCCTGCCTCAGCTTCCTGAGTAGCTGAAACTATAGGTGCATGCCACTATGCCTGGTCATTGTGGGTGTTTTTTCCTTTTTATTTTTTAAGGCAGGGTCTGGCTCTGTCATCCAGGCTGGAGTGCAATGGTACAATCTCAGCTCACTGTAACCTCTGTCTTTTGGGCTCAGGCATTCCTCCCACTTCAGCCTCCTGAGAAACTGGGACTACAGGCATGTGCCACCAACGCCTGGCTAATTTTTTTGAATTTTTTTGTAGAGTCCGAGTTTCACTATGTTGCCCATGTTGGTCTTGAACTCCTGAGCTCAAGTGATCCTCCTGCCTCGCCTCCCAAAGTGTTGGGACTGCAGGCGTGAGCCAGCTTGCCTGGCTGTCTTTATGTTTTTAAACATATTTTTATCGGTGGGGCGTGGTGGTTCATGCCTGTAATCCCAGTACTTTGGGAGGCTGAGGCGTGGATCACCTGAGGTTGGGAGTTTGAGACCAGCCTGACCAACATGGAGAAACCCCATATCTACTAAAAATACAAAATTAGCTGGGCGTGGTGGTGCATGCCTGTAATCCCAGCTACTCGAGAGGCTGAAGCAAGACAATCACTTGAACTTGGGAGGTGGAGATTGCAGTGAGCCAGGATAGCACCATTGCACTCCAACCTGGGCAACAAGAGCGAAACTATCTAAAAAAAACAAAACAAAACAAAAAAAAAAACTCTATCTACATACATGTATCACCCAAATATTCACCCCAAGATAATTTTCTGTGCTCATCTGTAATAGATTTGATATAACTAAACTCTCTTTCAGTTAATAGGCTCCTCCTCCACCTCTTTTCATTTCCTTATAATTTAAGAATCCAGGCTGCATGATATGCAGTTTATCAGTCTAGATTTTGCTAATTGTGCAGTTACAGACTGAATGGTTGTGAATTATGAGGTACCTATTTTGAGGTAACAAATATTACCTAGTGTTTGGTTTTGTTAGCTAGTTGCTGTATGTTTATTTGACAATTTGGAAAGTTTAAAAAACTATCCTGCTGCTGCCACCTTCCCATAATCCCTCGTTTTTAGTTTCTATTTCTCATTGAGATTCTCCATCTGTTCCCTCATTATGTCTACATCTTCCTTTAACATATCTACAACAGCTACTTTAAAGTCCTTCTGCTAATTGGAACATTAGGATCATTTCTTTTTTTTTTTTCCTTTTTTAGATGGAGTCTTGCTTTGTTGACCAAGATGGAGTGCAATGGTAAATCTTGGCTCACTGCAACCTCATCGCCCCCACCCCCAAGTTCAAGAGATCTTCCTGCCTCAGCTGCCCAAATAGCTGCGATTCAAGTCGCCTGCCACCATGCCCAGCTAATTTTTGTATTTTTAGTAGAGAGAGGATTTCACCATGTTGGCCAGGCTGGTCTTAAACTCCTGACCTCAGATGATCTGCCTGCCTCGCCCTCCCAAAGTGCTGGAATTAAAGGCCTGAGCCACTGCTGCTGACCAGGATTATTTCATGATCAGATTTTCTTGATTACAGGTCACAATTACCTGTTTCTTCTGATGTCTAGTAGTTCTGATAACTTGGATAGATTCAAACTACAAACTCTGTTCTCACTAGGAAGCAACTATAATCTCTGCTAAGTTTATTCAGCTTTTAGCTGCTGGTATTTTGCTGAGCCTCATGAGGCCTCCTCACAACACATAGTTTAGTGATCAGCCAAGGATTTTTGAATATTCTGTATGCAGATTTTGGGGCTCAAAGTTTCTGTAACCCCCTCTCGTCAAGGGTTTTTCTTCATCTTTCTGGCTATTCTGCCAGCACCTAAATCTATTCTCTGATGTCTTAAATCAATAAGGCTGTGGCTTTCTGCTGCTCAGGCTATTAGGAGCTATGAGGAGTTGGGCAATGTCCTCAGGCAAAAAGCCCTAACAACCAAATTTAGCCATTATAGTTGATTTTTTTTTTTTTTTTTTTTTTGAGACTGAGTCTTGCTCTGTCGCCCAAGCTGTAGTGCAGTGGCACAATCTTGGCTCACTGCAACCTCTGCTGCCTCCTGGGTTCAAGCGATTCTCCTGTCTCAGCATTCTGAGTAGCTGGGATTACAGGTGTGCACCACCACACTTGGCTAATGTTTGTATTTTTAGTAGTGATGGGGTTTCACCATGTTGGCCAGGGGTATTTTTTTTTTTTTTTACTCCAGAGTTGAGATAGTGTCTCACTCTGTCACCCAGGCTGGAGTGTAGTGGTTCAATCTTGGCTCACTGCAACCTCCACCCCCTGGGTTCAAGCAATTCTCCTGTCTTAGCCTCTGGAGTACCATGCTCGGCTAATTTTTGTATTTTTAGTAGAGACGGGGTTTCAACATTTTGGCCACGCTGGTTTCAAACTCCTGACCTCAGGTGATCTGTTCACCTTAGCCTCCCTAAGTGTTGGGATTTCAGGTGTGAGCCACCGTACCCAGCCCATTATAGTTTTTTAATAATGGACTTGTACAGTTTCTGCCTATTTTTGAAAGCTCTCTGGCGCCTTTTATTTTTCATGTCAGATGGGTAATTTGCTCACTTTATAAGACGGTTTGAGGGTAGCACATCTCATACCTGTACATGAACTATACATACCTATACGTGAGTCATCACACACATGAACTACAAAGGGATCTCTGGTGCCTTCAAATATTTATTTTTAATATTTTGTCCAGATTTTATAATTATCTGTGGAGGATTAATCCAACCAAGCTATTCTACCATAACTTAAATATTACTTTTGTATTTAAAAAAAAATCAACTTTAAATTTATTATTTTTTAAATGTCTGTGAGTCAGGCATGGTGGCAACATGCCTATAGTACCAGCTACTTAGGAGGCTGAGAAGAGAGGATCACTTCAGAACAGGAGTTCCAGGCTCCAGTGAGCTATGATTGGGCCTCTGAATAGCCACTGCACTCCAGCCTCGATGATACAGCGAGACCCCATCTCCTACAAAAATATCTTTGTGTGTTAAGTGACCTAGGTGTTTCTAGGTGCCTCATCCTGTGATATGATGGACAAAACAGTCTTAGAAAATAATTAGGAGCTTTGCAACCTAACATGACCAAGAATGGGCCTATATGATTTCTTTAGTCATTCATTCCAAATATAGCTGTATTCCAGCTCATACTCCTAAGATGCAGTGGGATATGTTACTCTGTAGAAGCCCTACCTGCCATTGACTGGCCAGGTACGTGTGATGTCACTCACATAGCAGGAAGACTCACAACCTCCATCCAGAAGTACCATTTCCCCATCCTGGAACAAAGTAATTAAGATTATGTTAAAGTGGGTTAGCTCATAAGTTATTAAGCCTTTCCTTTTTTTTTTTTAGATGGAGTTTCACTCTGTTGCCCAGACTGGAGTGCAATGGCGTGATCTTGGCTCACTGCAACCTCTACCTCCTGGGTTCAAGCAATTCTCCTGCCTCAGCCTCCTGAGTAGCTGGGATTACAGGCATGTGCCACCAAGCCTGGCTAATTTTGT